GAAAAGAAGCTATTCTGCCGCCTAGATTGCTCTAGTGAATGACTGCATAGCCTGTATTTGTAGCTGGTTACTTGTGCTTTATATTCTTGATGTCGGATAAACAAGCCGCAGTTATCTATCGGCGAGTGACTCGATCGGCGAATGGCTTCGCGATCATGAAGAAACAACACTTGTCTTCTTTCGTAGCTGGTCAAGGTACTTTAGTTCCATGTGTTTTCATGTGTTTTTTGACAAACTTTCAAACAAGCTCTTGTGGCTTTTTTGTTTGTTTTTGTCTTTTTTCTTTCGATGAAATTGCATTTCTAGTATTCTAAGAAATGAATTAAAATAATTTGCCTCGGGCGCCGTTCTATCCTTCGCGAAAAATAATCTCAGCTAGCTTCCAATTTTAAACTGACGCGTACACCGACCATATAGGGAGAGCATGGTATAATAGCTCATATACCATAACGGCTAAGCCAATCAAAATGCTAGAATTGCATTATCCAATGATCCAGTTTTTAATAATGTAGGTTAGATCATTGCTCGTCTATAAACTTAAGCCGCATAAACAATACGCTCGACTTCAGGAAATCGAAAAAAAAGAACACATCAAAGACAACAATTTCTCAGGCTTACCAGTCGAGATGCTGCTTCTGAAGGTCATCAAGTGTTCCAGAATTTTCAACCTTCTTACGCCTCAAGCAAGGGCAAGTGAGTAAGCTCATTTTTGAAAACGATGCCATCCGAAATCGGATTTCCAATGACTTTGACAAGCGGTGCATTTGTCAACAAAAAGCGCAATAAACAAACCAGCCATGAATTACAGAACAATCTTGATAGCAGCTGTATTTCATTTTGTACACCAAGTAGAAAAAGCCAGTTTAAAACATCACAAGATGACACAAAACTCTGTAAGCTCCAGCTATCAGTAAGCAAGTTTCCAGACGCTGCATAAATTTTCCGCATGAACTCACCTGTCAAATTTTGACCAATCAGAACATAAAAATTGGACGTAGAGCGTGATCAACGCGTGACAGTGAGGAAAGTCAAAAGTGATTGTCTTCCCTGCATGTAAATGTAAAGCCGGCTGAATTTTCGCATCCGAGGTCAGTTCGAAATCAACATTTTGAAAGTGCGGCTCATGATTTCGACTTATTTCATATGCTTTTTAAAAAAATTGAACTTGAGCCTGCGATAATTGAAAAGTAGCAACCTGTCAGCGGATACGTTAAAAAAACACTCGGACTCAGTGGGTCGATACCCGAGCTCGTGATAGGGTCAGGCGATACTGGTCAGCAGAAACGCTATTTTGACAGCTGTCAATTAATCAAAACATGGATGTACAATATCAGGTTGCAAGCTCCCAAACTAGCTAGAAAGTGTGAGATTAAACATTGGTATGCCTGTGGTGCTGACGGACGGAAGGTCGGGTGGTCGCTGTACGGTCACGTGATTGCCGAAATTTCTAAGATGGATAGATTTCCTAAGCTATGGGACTTCGAATTGAGCCCGTGATCAAATAAAATATCAGCGCAAAACTTTAAACACTACGTGACCTCAATGGATAGGCAAATGAGCCCGCGATACACTCAGGTGATGATGGTCAGCGTATACCCTAATTTGACAGCTGTCAATTAACCTTGATTAGAATGGCGAATATTCGAATTAACAGACTACGAGTGTGAGATGCCAGATCGTGTACCTGAGCGAACCTGAGCCCACGTTATTAGTTTTCTGATAGTGGTCTGCATATGTCCCATTTTGACAGCTGTCAATTGACCTTAATTTGGCTCGCCAATATAACTTTAAACGACTGTCAGCCAACTGACAGCCTTGCCCGGCGTAGTTTCGTTTTTATGTTGAATTGGTAAGTGTGACATATTATATCAGCTTATATGTAGGGGCAAAACGACTGGTCTTTCATCTGAGCCTGCGTCATAGTCATGTGATAATTGTCAGCGGATGTCTAATTTTGACAGCTGTCAATCTAATCGTACTCATACGGATGGCTTACATAACTAAGAGGCTAGTCAAGTTGTGCAAGATCTATTGTGACATTTGACATCGGCTTACATGACGCGTGTGTACGGGTGGGCCGGCGGGCGTACGCTACGTCATAACCAAATTTTCTCGGATGGACAGTTTACCAAATTTTCTTACCCATGGTGCTCCGCTATTGTTGCTTTACCGCAGAATACATACGTGTTCTGTTAATACAATAGGAGGAAACAAATGGAGAGTTTCGCGGTTAACTACAGCAATGGCGGCAAATTAAAGCGAGCTAAAATCAATCAGTTTCTTTCCTGTTTAAGGGTGTAACGGCGAAGAAATCACAGAGCTAGATAAAACACGGCTAACCACAAAGCAGAACTAAAGAAACGCGTACCGTGGGAAAACGATAAACCGAACCACAAAAATAATACCGAAGAGAAAATGCTTTGTGAGCTACTTATCGAGCTCGGTTACATATGCTAACAACGTCAGTTCCAAGACATATGTTTATTTTTTCCTTAATTACAATATTACCGCAGCTGTAGTTTCTAATCGAACCATTTTCTATTTTCAAGTGTGAGACCTCATCGTGAACTGATTATTGGCTTTTCCAGTCTGTTTCCAGGATTTCCCTTTCTACTGAATGGCAATGCAATAAAACTGGAAATTGTATTACAATTGAAATGTGGTACATGTATTTAGACCTTGAATAGGTCTGTTGTTTGTCATGATTATTCAAAAATATGTTGAGTTCGATAGGAAAAGCCTAGGAAATTTTTTAGTAGTCAAGCCAGCCTTTTAACTGAATTTCTCTGTTTTCCAGAGCAGTCTAAACTGGTGGACTAAGCTCTTTTTGAGCTGGTGAAATTGTCTGGTAGCCTGCTCTCAGTGACATCCCTGTGAATTAAATTCTTGTTAAAATAATAATTTGTTGTTTTCTTAAAGTTGCATTTAATACACAGACGTTACATAAGAATAAGACATCATTTTGGCTTTCCACCTCCAACAAGGATCCTACAGAAAAAGTTCTTGTGTAGTACCTATAAAAACCCTGGTTTTCTTATGATGTTAGCGATTGTGGTGATTATGATTGTGTGCAATCTAGCCTTCAGTTGATCACTGCAATCCCTTAAATCATTGAAGAATTATTTTCTTTGTATTGCTGTGTTAGCCTGCGAACATATTCGCCTCTCATCGCTCCCTGTTACTGGGGAAGTTTGGTGATTAAGACCTCTGTGTTTTTGCCAAAAAAATTTCATAGTCATGACCCAAATCAATGTTTACAGAGTTGATTTGGTAGTCATCGGGTTTCAGTTCAGGGCTAAAAATAATTTCCAGAGAGCTGCCGCACACGGTGAACAGCCAAATTCATTTTACGTCTGTCACGTATCGTTTCTGGCCGGTCAAATTTATAAGATAAAAATAAACAACTCTTGAAACATTAAGGGCCCATGAACCAAACTGGTGTTATATATTTCCAGCTTGCGAAATTCAGGTCGAAATCTTACAAAATACAAGGCGATAAAACATAATAGAAACTTATCTTGGCTTAATTGCCGTAAACTTCAAGACCACAATGAGCGAACAATGTTCCATAACTACCAGGCGTAAATTATCTTGTGGAAAACTGGGCTCTAGTCATGATCAAAAAGCTTTGCCATAGGTCATTTCTTGAACGCCTTGTTGTTAAAATCGCAAATGATTATCTCTGTTAAAAAGCATTAAAGAGGCCTATCAAATCAGTGCAAAATCGATCGATTTCGAGTGAGATTTGGCTTAATTTGGCCGTTTTTTACTGGTTGTTTTTTGGTGAAGTTAGCCCCCAAAAATTTCCGCGAAATCGGCCGATTTTTCGATGAATCTGTCTCTTAAAATCCCGCAAAACTTGACTTTTTCTCTGCGACCTAACAGAAGCCCCGAAAAAAGTGGTTGCTTAACTAATAAAAATGAAAATGTTTTAGATTTTGAAACCAGAAGTGTGTGAACCCCAGTGTCTGTTTCAGTGCGTTCATTGTAAACAACGGTTCCAGTTGTATTTCACGTAGGTTTTGAGATTAAAGTTCTGCAATACATATCTACTCCGTACTTACTGATAACAACTGAAACAACTGAATAGCATGGAAATTTTACTTTATTTCACGTTCAATACGATCAAAGGTGACTGGTCAACATGACCAGCAAGACAAAATGTTGACGGGTCAACTCCCCAATCAGTCTGGACATTGATTGTTGACCAGCCGTTATTTTGAGCCCTACAGATCTAAATTTATTTGAGTTTCTATTTTTAAAAAAAGGTTTTACGGAGCAATAATTATATTCCCAGGAAACAAGTATTTCTTGGTGGATTCGGCTCCTTGTGTATGATCTTTGTGAACTTTTTTCTTTCGTCTGTCATTGGTAAACAGTAGCTGAAAGAGTATGATTATGGTTACTGCATCAACCAATTGGAGTTTCTGAAAGGGTTAACTTGTCTTTCAGTGGCTAAGCTTTTTATTAGGCAGTTTTCCTTGAGGGTGATGCCAGCGCATAGTTTAACATAATTTAGCTAGTAGTTTAGTCAGTAATTGATTTTGGGTCCTCCAGATTGTACCTGCACCTCCAATGCCCTTCATGCTTGTTTACACTGCATCACAATTATATAGGACAATAGCTATGGTACTACGATCATGGACAAGAGTCCTTGTGACAGTCATGCAGTATTCATATTTTTCTGTTTTTTCTGGGTTCCCTCTTTAAAAAGTGCATCCTTGGAATTTTAATATTTACACACACACTGTTTTTGTATTGGAAATCTGCAATTTACTTGTTTTTCTGCGCTCACTTGTACCATTTCTGCTGCATCTACTCATGCATAAATACCTCGTACTTTCCACGAAATATTTCGTAGACATTACTCGTAAAGGAGGATTTTTTATTTTTATGACCACGTACATAGAGCTACTCTGTAAGTTTGAGTGAAAATAAAGTTTATGTAATGTATGTATGTAATGATTCACTTGCAGACAAGGTGGAAAGGTGACACACATTAAAATTCAAAACACAGGAGATTTTTATGACCTGTATGGAGGAGAAAAATTTGCCACTCTGTCAGAGTTAATTCTCTTTTACACTGAAAATCCTGGACAACTGAGGGAGAAGCAAGGTGAAGTTATTGAACTGAAATTCCCACTGAATTCTACAGATCCAACCTCTGAAAGGTTAGTTTAACATGTTCACTCATTGGTTCTGGTTTTACTGAACAGGACTTACTGTCAATGTACAGTCATACGACTGTGTAAACCCAAAGCAGCCCCTTTTTTGTCTTGATGTTACTTAAATAATGATTTAACTTCAAATTTATCATACGCTTTTATACCTTTAATCATTTCTCAAGCTGTGTCCTACTTGTAGCTGATCTATACTACTCTATTTTATTTTGAAAATTGTTTTTGTTTTTATTTTTGCACCTCTTTCACTTTTACACTATATAATTATGGCCTTGTATCATAAAAGGGTGCATTGTTTGTTTCAGTTGAAAATTGGCCAAGCAAAATTATAGTTGTTACAAGACATCTCTCCCGTTAGGGCTCAGCTTGTAAGCTGTTATTATTTTGTTCAATACTGTGTGCTCACAAGCCAGTTGTTGAACACTAATAACCCTTTCAATCCTGTTAGTGGCCAAAGTCCAAATTGGATGAATACTCCAAATTTCATTTTTGTAATACATGTACTGGAAAACAGCATGATAGTACCATGTGAAAATATTCCCAAAGAGGTTTCAATTGAATGGTAACACTGTGCAGACTCAAAAGTTTGAACTTCATCCTAAATAAAGAGCATGTAGCGGCTGGGTTCCCTGTTTCGTTTGTTTTCCCGCCTTTAGAGGTCATGTGACTTTGTTTTTAGTTGTCTTTTGATACGTTTCAGCGAGTGTTTGCAGCTTGGGCATTCACTCGAAGTAACGACCAAAATTGATCGGTTTCGACGCATTGACGACTGTATTTCTGGGAAACTTTTCTTGCTGAAACCTCGAAAGACTTGGAAATAATCCTCATAATTATCGTACTGAGTTTTACGAATCGTCTTTCACGCACTAGCCTTTATCTTAGCCTTAAGACAAGTTTCGTTTATTCAAACCTCGTCAGTTTGGCTAAAACTGTTACAATACGTTGTTACATTCAAACAAGCAAACGCGTACGCTCACCCTCAAGCGCGTGCAAGAAGGCGCGCGCAACTGCTAAAAATTACAATCCATCAATCATTTCACTATTGCCGCTTGCGGCAATGTTATAGAGTTCCATTCCGTCTTGTTATTTATAGATCCTTCTCGTCTGATCTTGATGGATGAATCTTGATCTGATCGTCTGATCGTCTGATCGTCTGATCGTCTGATCGTCTGATCTTGATGGATGAATCCATCAAGATCAGACGAGAAGGATCTATAAATAACAAGACGGAATGGAACTCTATAATATTGCCGCAAGCGGCAATAGTGAAATGATTGATGGATTGTAATTTTTAGCAGTTGCGCGCGCCTTCTTGCACGCGCTTGAGGGTGAGCGTACGCGTTTGCTTGTTTGAATGTAACAACGTATTGTAACAGTTTTAGCCAAACTGAAGAGGTTTGAATAAACGAAACTTGTCTTAAGGCTAAGATAAAGGCTAGTGCGTGAAAGACGATTCGTAAAACTCAGTACGATAATTATGAGGACGACTGTATTGTTTGGAACATTGTCTTCGTGTATTGTCACGATTCAAGATTGTAGCCGTCCTTGCAGTATTGGAAATAAAGGTCCGTAAACAAGAGTGAATTTCGTCGCTACAGTTACTTCGAACGCCGAGCTGCATTCAGATGATTTGTTGGCCTACGAGCACCGTTCTCAGACTATTTGTCCTATCTTATTGTGAATATTGGTATTTTGAGTCCTGGTGATAATATTTGGCGTGCAACACTGGCCGTGAGTACTTTCTATGCTTGTATACAAGGGTTTTTGATCCCTTGTTGTTTTGTGATGTCGGTTTGGGATCTTTCGAGCGATGATGGCCGAGATACGGCACTCGATCTCACGAAAACTCCGGATTTGACACTTTGTGAACCTCAAGCCTTCTCTACCGCAATGGAAAACGAAAACAAGGAGTCTGGTTACGCTACAAAGCCGAACGAAACGACAAACTCGCCGCCTCTGGACGAAAACGCATGTGTTTCAGAGGAAATGTGGAATGGACAAGGGAACGCGGAATTGGATCAGACCGTTATCGATAAGAGACCTCGGAAACTAACTGAAAAGGGCAAAGGCTATCGCCTCGTGCAAAGGAAAGGAGAAAGAAATAAACTTAAACGAAAAATACAATCTCAGATTGCTAACATCAGCACGCTGTTGGGCCATGATAAGAACCTTGTGTTAATCAGTGATTTGTCTATTAAACTAAATTATCTGTTTGAGCAGTTTGGTGATCTACACGAAGAAATACAAGAACTTCTTACAAAAGGAGGAACAAATTACGGACTCTGAGAATTATGATGACTTGTACCAAGAAATTAGACTCATTCGTGAAACACTACAGAAGTGGATGATCGATGCCAATCAGCGGATTAGAGATGAGAAAATTGAAAGGGGTTCTGCCAAGAGCATCAAATCAAAGGGCTCTAGGTCCTCGAAGTTGTCAACCACATCCTCAAGGGCGAAGGCTCTCGAAGCCAAGGCAAGGCAGGCTGAGTTAGAGGCAAGGATCGCGCAACTTGATCAAGTCGAGGCTGCGAAGAAGGAAGCAGAAAGAGCAAAACTAATGGCCGAACGTGCAGCTGTGGCCGCTGTCAACAAAGTGTATGAAGACGCTATGAAGGAGGATGACGAACAATATTTGGGCTCGGATGATCCTGACATCAATGATACAGCTGCCGACGATCAGCCTAAACCAAAGAAGTCTTCGCAGACCACTGAGCCTATACAAACCATAGATGAATCCAGAAATTTGAGGAAAACTGAAGCAGAAATTAAGCATTTGAATGATCCTGCCGAGAATCAGCTGGAATCTATAAGCGCTTTAGACCCTAAGGCACCGGAATTTGCGTTGCCCTCTGTACCCTTACAATCGGAATGTGTTGTTAGCAATGGTAGTGCAGCATACTGCAACCCCATGGTAACGAATTGCAATACCGAAGTGACCAGTCTTGTACCACCAGCGGCCTTCTGGGAAAAGATGGAATTAAGAATGACGCAACCCCCGCCTGTACCCGCTCCATTTGATGGAGATCCATCCCGCTACCTTCGTTTCAGAGCTGACTTTAGAGATCAAGTCGAGAGCAGAGCATCGTTGACTGATAGCGAGAAAATGAATTATTTAATGACTTACACAGCTGGTAAAGCAAGGGAAGTCGTCGAAAACTATCGGGGTCTACCAAATGGTTGTCACATCGCTCTGCAAATGTTAAGGCAGAGATTTGGACAAAATGCAATGGTAGTGGAGGCCCTCAAGTCGTCAGTGGTAAATGGCCCAAAGTTAAAGAATGGTGACAGTGCAGCCCTTCTAGCTCTTTCCGATAAAGTGCAAAATTGTCGCTGCGCAATGATTGAACTGCAATCAAAGGAACTTGACTGTACTACGAACTTACGGCAAATCTATGATCGTCTACCGTACCCCTTGCAGGCGAAATGGAGAAGGTCAGCAAAGCAGTACCGTGAAAGAACTGGTGGTGGAGAGCCGACGCTCAAGGAACGTTCGGAGTTCATAACTGCCGAGTCGCAAACTGAGAATGACCCACTCTATGGAAGACCTAGTACCCTTGCAATAAGGGCTAACACCGGCAGAAACTTCAAAAAACCTCTTCCCACATCAGGACAGTCTGGAGAAACACATATTTCCACCTTGTCGACAGAGATTAAAACAAAGGAGACCAATACTCCCCAAGAGGACAAGGCCCTACCTGCAAAGGGAGAACATGTTGGTCGGGTTGAAAGAGGCGAAGAGGAGAGGTGTCGGGTTTGCAAGGGAAGGCATGGTGTTTCAGAATGTTCAGCGTTCGCAAAGAAGGGTTTGAATTGGCGCCGGCGTTTTGCAAGATCCAGTGCACTATGTTACCGGTGTTTGTCCAGTTGTCATATGATAAAGACATGTCCAAAAACTAAGGGTTGTGATGTGAAGAGCTGCCCTCAGCCATCGACCCACCATTCCCTGCTACATCTACCCACAGCAACTTCTGACGCCAATAAGGGTGAGGAGAGCGTTAATCGTAGCGCTACTCCCAGTGAGGACTTAACCGTAAGCGTAACTATGGAAGACTCAAAACGAAGCTTTGTGCTACTCAAGGTGGTACCGCTGTCCATCGTGGGTGAAAACGGAACTATGGTCACTTCGTACGGCCTTTTAGACTCAGCGGCTGTCAGTTCCTTGATTACGTCGGACCTAGTTGAACGATTGCAACTTCATGGAACTCCCGAGAAAGTGAGCATTAACAATGTAACACACAAGAATCATGACTGTGAACTCATCAGAGTTAAATTTCTGATAAGCCCATTGAGACGAGATGGACCCTTGTACTCAATACTTCATGCCTTGGCCATACAGGACTTGAACGTTAGTGACCGGTATTGTCCAAACCAAGTAGATTTAACACAATGGCCACATCTTGCACATTTAGAACTGCCGAATATTCCTGTGTATGTTCCGAAGGTTTCAGTTCTCATTGGCCAGGATGTGCCTCAGGCGCACATAGTTCTCGATTACCGCTGGGGAGATAGCCCACAGAACCAGCCATACGCAATGAGAACTCCATTTGGATGGTGTGTAGCTGGGCCCACAAACAAGGGGGAATATAATAGCAAGCCAGTTGCCCTTTCTGTATTCGAGTTTGACGTTACCAAGGAAGGGTCGGTCATGGGACTTCAACAGCAAGTTGAGAAATTTTGGGACTCTGAATCACACGGATTTGGAAATGTTGGTGACAGTTGCGACAGCCGTGAGGACAGCAGGGCCCTTGAAATATTGAACAACACCACTAAATTAAAGAACGGGAGGTACGAGGTCGGTCTCCTTTGGCGAAATAGCGACCCTCAGCTTCCAAACAACCGGTCCTTGGCAGAAAGGAGGTTACAGCAACTGAAGAGACGGTTTGACCGAAGTCCAGAATTCGCCAAGCAATACGAGGCAGTGATGAACGACTATATTGCAAAGGGGTATGCTGTGAAGTTGTCCGCTGAGGAAGCCGCCCACACGAGTAAATGCACATGGTATTTACCCGAATAAAGTAAAGGTCCGAGTGGTGTACGATGCGGCTGCGGAATTTGGTGGGACATCCCTGAATAAAGAACTGCTGCAAGGACCACAGCTGAACAATTCTCTCGTTGGAGTTCTGATCCGATTCAGAAAAGAGGACGTAGCCATAGCCTCTGATATCGAGAGCATGTTTCACAGAGTAGTCTGCAGGGAGGAGGATACAGATGCCCTACGGTTCTTATGGTGGAGTGAAGGCGTCGATAAGCCACCGAGTGATCACAAAATGAATGTGCATTTGTTTGGAAAGACAGACTCTCCATCGATTGCAGCCTGGGCTTTAAAACGAACAGCTGCAGACAATGAGTCCGAGTTTAGCAAGGAAGTGTGCGCTATTGTCTCCAAGAATTTCTATGTAGATGATGGATTGTTTTCTGTGCCTACCACTGAACGGGCAATTGATGCTTCACTGCAGTTGATGGAGTTGTTGCAAAGAGGGAACTTTCGGTTGACAAAGTTCGTGTCCAACGTCAAGCAAGTATTAGCTGCTATCCCAGCAGGGGAAAGAACGGTTAAAAACCTGGATTTGGACAAGCTTCCTATCGAAAGAGCGCTGGGCCAGCAGTGGGATACCGAGACCGACTCGTTGGGAGTGAAGGTGTCACCTTTACCGAAGAAGTTAAATGACGACACGAGGCGAGGGTGTTTGTCAACCATGAGCTCCACGTTCGATCCGCTGGGCATGATTGGACCGGTTTTGCTCCCAGCTAAGAGAGTCCTCCAAAGGACCTGGCAGCTTAAACTTCAATGGGACGAGAAATTGCCAGACGACTTGCTGAGAAGCTGGACAAAGTGGAGAGAGCAGTTGGAGCTCCTCAATCAAGTCAATATTCCTCGTTGTTACTTCCCTGGCGGCTGCCATGCTGGTAAATCATTCCAGTTACATCACTTCAGTGATGCCTCTGAATTTGGTTGCGGGACAGCGTCCTATTTGAGAAGAGAAACATGGGATAGAATGGTGAATTGTTCATTTATCATGGCCAAAAGCCGGACGGCTCCTCTTCAGTACGTTTCTATCCCGAGGCTCGAGTTACAGGCTGCTACGATAGCAGCAAGAGTTCACAGTATGATCATAAGGGAAATAGACTTGAATATTTCTTCTACCTTCTTCTGGACAGATTCCCAAATCACGTTGCAGTACATCAGAAACGAGTCCCGTAGATTCAAGACCTACGTAGCAAACCGTGTATGTGAAATAAGGCAAGTTTCCGAGCCGACCCAGTGGAGACATTGTCCAGGAAACCTAAGCCCGGCAGATAATGCATCTCGTGGGCTTTCAGCTCAACAGCTTTTGAGCAGCGATAGGTGGTTCGCTGGCCCAGCCTTTTTATCCCAACCAGAGGCAGAGTGGCCGACCACTGAAATTGGCGATCTACCAGAGAACAACTTAGAAGTCAAGGTGGAAAAGGCTATATTCACTTTGCAGTCACCCAATAGCATACACGAATTTCTTGTAAGGTATTCTTCCTGGTCAGTGCTGTTGCGAAAGGTAGCCTGGCTATTAAAATTCAAGTCATATCTAAAGAAAGATAGAGACAGCAGCAGTTCAAAGTACTTAACGACAGATGACCTACAGAAGGCTACAACTGCTGTAGTAAGGCTGGTGCAGAATGAGGCGTATGCCGATGAGATGGGCGACTTGGAAAAGGGAAAGAACGTCAAACATTCAAGCAGAATTGTCAAGCTTCGGCCAATGTTGGATAATGGAGTAATGCGAGTTGGAGGACGCATTTCTGAAGCTGCCATTGCCTTTGGAGCCAAGTTCCCAATGATCATGCCGCCAGGGCATCACGTCACCCAGTTGCTTATTGCAGCCTTCCACCAACAGCTAGCGCACGCTGGTCAGAACCACATACTGGCAAGTTTAAGGGAGCAGTTTCGGATACCTCGAGGGAGGTCTGCTGTGCGTAAAGTAGTACGATCCTGTTTAAAGTGCAAGAAGCAAAGGGCAGCCACTATGGAGCAGATGATGGCCACTCTACCAGCGTTTCGTACTACGGCTTATCAACCATGCTTCACTCACACTGGCGTCGACTATTTTGGACCGTTAAACGTGAAAAGAGGGAGAGCCGTGGTCAAGAGATGGGGTGTCATATTCACCTGTTTGAATTCTAGGGCCGTGCATCTGGAACTGGCTACTTCTCTAGAGTCAGACTGCTTCATCAATGTTCTAAGGAGATTCATGAATCGAAGAGGCGCACACAAGTGTATTTACTCGGTGTCGGTGCAGAAAGGGAAATTAGAGAAGCGATAGAAAACTGGAACCAGGAACAGATCTTGGATGAACTACTTCAGAAGGGATGTCAGTGGGCGTTCCAACCGCCAAAGGCTTCACACGCTAGCGGAGTCTGGGAGAGACTAATACGTAGTACCCGCACAGCCATCAAGGCCATACTCGGTGAGAGCCTAGTGAATGAAGAAGTATTGACAACCGTCTTAACAGAAGTTGAGGCTATTCTGAATTCTAGACCACTTTGCGCTGCGTCCGATGACTCAAATGATTGTGAACCCTTGACTCCTAATCTCCTGCTGCTGCAGAGGGCTGTTCATGTTTTACCTCCTGGAGTCTTCGTAAAAGAGGACATATTTGCTAGGAGGATGTGGAGACAGGCACAAGTTCTAGCTGATCATTTCTGGAAGCGATGGCTAAGGGAGTACATCTCAGTTTTACAGGAGAGACAGAAGTGGCAGCGACCCCGCCGGAATGCTGAGATTTGAGACCTTGTGCTACTAGTGGACGACTGCTTGCCTAGAGGACATTGGCGTATGGGTCGAGTCATTGAAGCAGTTCCCGGAAGAGATGGACTTGTCCGGACAGTAGTAGTGAAAACGGGCGCGTCAACCACATTAGTACGTCCTATACAGAAACTTTGTTTGCTGGAAGAATCAGGAAATCTCCAGCGAGATTAGAGACAGACAAGTATAGGAACAGTGCCACTATATTGATTGACATTCCTTTATTACATGAACTTAGCAGGCGTGGGAACCCATGCCTAGTTTGTGTTTCTAATGCTTCACTAAGTTCGCATGGGGTGGGGTGTAGCGGCTGGGTCCCCTGTTTCGTTTGTTTTCCCGCCTTTAGAGGTCATGTGACTTTGTTTTTAGTTGTCTTTTGATACGTTTTAGCGAGTGTTTGCAGCTTGGGCATTCACTCGAAGTAACGACCAAAATTGATCGGTTTCGACGCATTGACGACTGTATTGTTTGGAACATTGTCTTCGTGTATTGTCACGATTCAAGATTGTAGCCGTCCTTGCAGTATTGGAAATAAAGGTCCGTAAACAAGAGTGAATTTCGTCGCTACAGAGCACCATGTTACAGAACTGCTGAAGAGGTTTCATTTGAATGGTAACACTATAGGATGTAATCCACAGACTCAAAAGTTAGAATTTCATACTAAATAAATAGCACCATGTGAAAGTACTGCTGAAGAGGTTTCATTTGAATGGTAACACCATCCAAAGACTCAAAAGTTAGGACTTCATACTAAATACATAGCCCCATTTGGAAGTACTGCTGAAGAGGTTTCACTTGAATTGTTACACCACAGGATTATATCCACAGACTCAAAAGTTAGAACTACATACTAATTATAAATAGCACCATGTGAAAGTACTGCTAAAGAGGTTTCATTTGAATGGTCACACCACAGGATTGTTGATATTTGTTGTTGTTAGATGGTTTCATGGACACCATGTGAAAGTACTGCTGAAGAAGTTTCATTTGAATGGTGACACCACAGTATTGTTGACATAAATATTTTGTTGTCAGATGGTTTCATGGACACATATCTGGAGAGGAGGCAGAGACAATGATGTTGGAGAAAGGAAAGAATGGATCTTTCCTGGTTAGACAAAGTCGGAGCAAACCTGGAGACTTTGTTCTTACGGTCAGGTGAGTTGTTGTAGTTATCTTATACGTGGAGATTTTGTCACACTCCATTTACTTTTACCAAATTAGAGGGGTAGTACCACCAAGATTTGTGGGTCCTGAAGAATCCAATGGAATTGTTTCTGGCTATCTGCAGGGATGTTAGTAAGATTTCAATTTGGCTGCTACAGCCTAATAGACAGCGATGTACATGTACTTGAAATACGCTGCGACTTGAATAAGTTTGGAGAGACTATGGCTAAGCCCTCCAAAATATGGAAATATTTGCTTAATTCCTTAGTATCAATGTGAAATGTCTTTCTGTATCGACAAGTTGGCATCTGTTTTATACATGTATTCAGAGTAGCAATTTTTGATATCTTACTGGTATGTACTAAATTAGATTGGAGGACAAGATTACACATATTATGATACGTCACCTAGTGGGAGATGGTAAATATGATGTTGGTGGAGGAGAGAAGTTTAATGATTTGACTGATCTGGTGGAGCATTATAAGACAAACCCCATGGTGGAAAAATCTGGCACTGTTGTGCAGCTTAAAATAGTAAGTTGCATTAGTACTTTTCTTATCATGATCATGTCAATTAAAAACATCAAGACAAACACCTCCTTAATAATATTAGTATTGAATAATAATAATAATAATAATAATAATAGTAGCAAGAGTGATAATGATGATGATGATGATGATAATAATTGTAATAATAAAAGTAATAATAATGCTTTCTAAAATTATGATAATTTAATATTACATGTATGTAGCAGTACAAAACAATCAAATGCTAAATGTTGTAATTGATAAATTCATATTGATGTATTTTTAGCCATTCAATGCAACAAGAATCAATGCAGCAGCTATTGAGGACCGAGTTAAGGTGCTGCAAAAGCAGAATCAGAATGTATCTGGAAAGGCTGGATTTTACGAAGAATTTGAGGTGAGAAAGACAAAGACAGCAGTAGTGTCCATTGTTCTTGTGAATCGTAAGGTTCCTTGTACATGTATTACCATTCTTCTCATACTTTGCTTTGCTTCTGTTTGTGACTGAAAATTTGTTTTCCACATCCACTGAGGAAGTGATCATTCTAATATTGTGTTACCATTGATGTGAGAGGTATGGTATATGCATGGCACTGTGCAGCAGCATGTTTACACACAGATACTGATGTGGCATGAAGAAAGCTGAGGACCTTTAGATAGTCACTGTTTGAAATGAAATAACAGTTTGAATGGTATTGTGGGGTGTTTATTGACTAAATGAATTGAAGAAAGAGTGCTGCCAAATGTTACTTGAAAATCACAAACAAAACAATCTACTGTAACTTGTATTGTTTTTAAGGTACATGGCACAACAAAAGTGTTGTCTGGTACATGTAGATCGGGGATAGTAGAACAGCTGCCTGGGCTAGTGTGTTTTAATTAGTAGTTGTCTAACAGGCATGTAACATTTGCTGTGAAAAAGTAAATGTCAGTGAAAAAGTGGATTAGTAAGCTTGCACAGCTGTTCTATTTTTTTTAAATTTAATAGTTGTTTATTTAAATGAATAAATAAATAATAATTAATGATTTGGAGGTAGCACATCCACGTAGTGGTTCTTCGTCTACCTGATTCCTGGTGGATTTGGAATTTGAATGTTGGTTTTTGAAAAGAGGGGAAAACCGGAGTACCCAGAGAAAAACCTCTTGGAGCAAAGGAGAGAACCGACAACAAACTCAACCCGCATATGGCGTCACACAACAAAAACTGTACTTTGTAAGAACCTGGATATCCATGCCAGTTTAAGTGATTTGGCCATAGTCTCTATGCTCTCTGCACAGCTGTTCTAGGTTTGTAAACATCAGCAACAGCTTGAACTTTCATATCACCCTTAGATAGCAGATTCAGAAAAGGTGGAAACTATATATTATGTTGCATTTTTTTATTTTTTGTAATTAAAGTCTTTCTAAATTCTCTCAATGTTGCCTGCATAGGTTCTTCAAAAACAAGATTGTAAACATCTTTACAGCAGAAAAGAAGGTGAAAGACCTGAGAACAAGCCCAAGAACAGATACAAGAACATTCTACCATGTAAGTTGTGTTCATTAGTTTCATTAGTTTCTTTGTTTACAAGCAGCATAACTTAAAAAGACAATCCCCAAGGATGTAAGTAATTTGCACAATTGGTCCATCATAGATGGTGTAGTTTAAAGAAATTCAGGTTAAAGTGGTTTCGTCTATGGCTGATTTTCAATTTCCCTAATAATTATAAAAAAAAGTCAATTTCCGTGGCCTCATTTACATGTATTATCTGCTGTCACTCTGGAAATTTACTCGAAGGGCTTTCCCAATATATGGAATTAACATAAGACTGAAATATTTTTCTTTGAAAAGCAGGGTTGTCACTTAGATTTCAAGTTGCCGGGTATTTGTTGTTAGTAGCCGGGGAAGTCGCAAGCAGTCATGGAGCCCCTTCCCCCCCCCCCGCCTTTACGTAAAGCCTCGTTGGAGGGTTTTTTTAGTGGCCGGCAAATGGGAATATACATGTAAGCACCGCGCCTAAAAAAAAAGTGTAGGCTGGCACCGGTCACGTTATCTGCGCAGTCTTATCTTCACGCAGGCAAGGCGCATGCTGGGCAGTGAAGTGTTAAATCACAACGATACTTTACAAGTGCTAAAAATGTTGAAAGGACAATCGATTCTTCTACGGTGCAAATGAATTAACATGCACTGTAAAATCAATTGTAAATCCTCATTATTTTAGTTATACGTAAGAACGAAACAACTTACGGAAAACAAAAGTGAAACTAATATTGCAAATGAATTAACCCACGCAGAAGCGGAAAGAAGAAAAGCGGACGATGAATGTACGAAAAAGCATCATAAACATAAGGTTACTATGGTTTGTTGAAAAATAAAAGTATGATAAGGCTAAAACAAGCGTAACGCACGAAAAATCGCGGGATAAAATATGGCAAAACTAAACTGCACAACTGGTGACATTAGTGGTCTCGAATTTATGAACGAAACATCACTCGACATACGAAGAAACTGACCTACGGAAAAGCGTTTAAACGACAGGGCTAATACTTTATAAACGACGCTGAGATGTCAAAACGAGACTCAAGGAGAAGAATGTAAAAGTGATGCAACTTCTTGGAAGTAGAACTAAGAGCATGTGATCATGGCCTGCGGACAATGATCGAATATTTCCTGTTGACCGTGCGTTATTTTATACACTCGATATTAAAAGCTAAATGTAGACCTGGTCACTTAAATGTCCACGTATTAAACATGGCAATCAGTCATACTCTTCATCTTCAAAGCCTTCATCATAATCCTAATTATCATCAACATCAGCATCAGGGAGATTTAACCCTCGAATGATGCCTCAACTTGTGATGTCAACAGAGATCTGCTCAGGTCTTTCATCGTGAACAAAGAGTGCAGCATCCTTTGCCACTTCTTCGACGTGTTCAACACAAACTCTACACAACGTACGGTTGAAACTAGGGACTTTTAGCATCGACAAAGGTGACGGCAGCGAAAACGTCACTTTTAAAAATGAATTGGCGTTTTTTCCAACTTTGTCGCGTTTATTTCAACTCGCTGATAATAGCTAATGTAGGCCAATTTCGCGTTCCCTGGAGTTGATTTCTTTGGGCGCACTCAAGTTTAGAAAGAGAAAGAAAAGTTTGTCGTCGCTTGTTTTACGTCCTCCATAAAACGTGAAACTAGGCATTTTCACGTCGTAGTCGTGCAGTAACGGCAAAGAAATGTACAAAAAAGCGTGACGCATGTGCAAACTAGTTGTTTTGCTCAATAAACCTATTGCTTTTTTGACGTTCTCGTTGCCGTCACCGTTGTCGTTGCTAAAACTCCCTACTGACATTTCGCGAACGGAGAGTTTTCGCGCGTGTGTACTGGTACCAAATCTAAGTCAGATGTCTTTTTCCGACGTTTCTTGGTTTTTGCACGCGAGTATTTCAGAATTACTTAAACCTGCTGCAGATGAAACTCGCATTTAGTTTGATGGATAGTCTGTGTGTGTTTCAAAGGTGTGCTCTTTTGGTTTAATTTAACGACGAAAGTAGCCGGGGGCCATGCTCTGAGTAGCCGGGGGAAATCCCCCGCCCCCGGCCCTTAGTGACAACCCTGGAAAAGGCTTTCCCACCCTTATTCGCTAGGATCATTTTCATTTTCTTCACTTTATTTATTTTCAAACTATAGTCTCGATATTGTCTAAGTTCAGCTCTGACGCCAGCACTAACCAACAATTTCTTAAGATTTGTGCACTTTGTTACCCACCAGATGCTTATCCCGTGGATTTGGTACTCCAATGACCCCTCCCCTCACCCCACTCTGGTCCATGTCATTTAGTTGAGGTTAGGAATGATCCAGCCTGACATCAACCTTTTTTGGGGGGGGGGGGGATGGGGGTGGAGAGGGGGAATCATTTGTAATCACCAGTGCTTTCTTTGTTTTTAAATTAGACTTGTCAACACTCGTTTTCCTTAACATTTTTGTCCAATTTTTACAGGTTGAATTTATTAAATATTTTTTGTGCATTTCCACAACATCTTCCAACCCAGATTACTTATGATTGTGAATAATGCCAACAATTTCTTTTGTATCCTAATTCTTAGGTAGAATCATATGAAAAAGAAAGTATTTGGAGACCAATGAAATTGTGTAAAGCTGAAACCATTCTCCCCTGAATTGAAATTTGAACTTCATCATAAACCTTTTAATCCTCAAGACTTTAAAACATAAACTTTCAGAAAAACACTGAAATACCATACTTAAGGAAAAATTTAAAATCAGATTTGAAAAACTGCTGCATAAGAGATTTAATTCTTTTGTACTGTTCTTTCATAGCCATCTTAGTGCTTGGACATTCGTTGAAGAGATTTCCGCCATTATAAAACCAACCAGTCCATGGGCAACATTAATATAATTATTTCATTAATTATTTTAATATGGACATAACTTTGCTATCAACATTATATTTTTGGCTCTCCTGTTACACACTGTTTTGATTTTTGCTTCTGTTTTATCTCTACTTCACTCAGTTGATCACAGTCGAGTTGTTTTGCGTGGGGGTGACCCAGATGTTGTGGGATCAGATTACATCAATGCAAACTTTGTTGGGGTAAGTTATTGCTTGATTTTTAACAATTCATCTCTAAGGTATTTCGTGTGAAAATTGAATTCCTCAACATTTTATGAGTAATTCCTACTTATAAGAGTCCTTTTGTCGCCTTGATTTAATATAGTGTAGTGCACAATAAGTTGTGTTTCAGTTGTTTTGTTTCCTTTGAAAGGGAAAGCCCTTTGGGAATTCGAACTGCATGGAAAACAAATTTTTGGCCAAAATTCTTGGTATACAACCATTTTTTATGTGATGGCCCAATGGTCAAGCCAGGTATTTGGTTTGAGCACATTCGCGTTGAGTTAAAACATTGTTTAACCCTGAAAGCTTGGCTAAAAGCAACTAGTAGTGTTTCTGTTTGTACACCATTTTAAAAGCTTGACTATTACAGTGTTACTACCACATCATGTCAATGGCACCCATACACAAATGACGAACTATCATCCCATCCAGGAAGCTTTTGGATCTTTCATCATAAACTGTTTGATGTTCATTGCAGCCTAGTGACTGTGAGGAATCATCCAAGAGATACATTGCAGCTCAGGACTGCCTTCCAACCACCGTAGAAGATTTCTGGAAAATGACCTTTCAAGAGAACAGTCGGATCATTGTCATGATAACAAAGGAAGTGCAGAGAGGAAGGGTGAGTACATTATAACAATAGTGTTGACCTTTAAACTCTGTTATTTACATTGTACTCATTATTTGTCTTCTCTGTCTTCTCATTGGCTAAGAGCCTACAGCTAATTTTGGAAATCAGCGCAACTTACAGATTAGTAAGTGGTTATCTGCTAGCAGATAACTGACTAATCTGTAGGTTGCACAAGCAATGCATGATTTCCAGTAACAATAATTATATCACTTCAGGTTCCTTGCAACAGTCTGTTTTTCGTTATTTTCTTCAAAACAATGTATGATAAAACAATTTTATTAGTGTCGTGTCTTAATCGCGTATTGAAACCGATTCACACGGATTATCAAGCTGCACCAGAAACACTCTGAATCTAATCCGCCATGCTTTTAATAATCAATCCCATCAACCTTTGTACGGCTAGATACATCATGTAAGCTATACTGAAAGTACACTACATCCCTCCCTTTTTTGGAACAACACATGGGAAACATAAACATACTTAACAGCTACAAGAACAAATCAGAGCAAACTTAGTAGTTGTCCCAAATATAAACCTCGACTCCGCGAGGATGAACGCAGTTCACAGTTCAATAATAAAGAAAGCGAAGTAACTTAACACTATCCTAGCGAAACACGAACAATTCTAATAAGTCAAGTCATATCAAAGTCTTTAAACTTCTCTGGCAACTTCTTATGACGAACAGGTCTTGTAGGTGCAGCAATCTTTGCTTTTCCACAATCCGTCTCAAGGTCTGTATGGTCTAGTCCTGCGTCGACAGCATTCTCTACAGCAGGAGGATCAACAGCTTCAGCCTCATACTTTTTAAGGTGGGCTTTATTTCTTTCATACTGAACACCTTCGGGAGACTTGATAACAATGCTGCTGCCATTTCTGCTTACAACGTCATACAGTTCTGGTGCAAATGGTGTTGACAACTTGTTTTGCCGCTCTTGCTTTAATAGGACTCTGTCACCTGGAACTAGATCTGAATATTCTGCATGCCTCTTCTCGTCCTCATATAACTTAGCCTTTGCTTTCATTTCGCTGTCTCTGTCTCGCACTTCACTTGCTACATTATCTTCGCGGAATTCAGGTAACTTGGTCCGGATTTTCCTTCCAAACAGGAGTTCAGGTGGACTCACTCCGGTGGTGGTGTGAGGAGTGGATCTGTATGCAATCAGGTATTTGCGAACTTCTTCCTTCCACTGTTTGCCCTCAGCTTGTGCAATCCGCATTCTTTTCAAAAGAGATCGGTTCTGCCTTTCCACTTCTCCGTTCGCTTGGGGCCATAATGGCGTGGTCTTCCTGTGTTCAATACCACAGTCTTCCAAATACTTTTCAAACTCATTTGAAACAAACTGTGGACCATTATCACTGGTTACTGATAGTGGTAAACCATGAATCATGAAGATCCTCTCCAGGCTCTCAATGATCTTCTTGGATGTCGTGGAGCGCATAATCTCAATTTCATAATATCTGCTGAAGTAATCAACCACGACCAACACGGAGTCACCTGACGGTAAAGGACCTAGCAAGTCCAGGGCCAAGTCTTGCCAAGGACCTTGTGGCAAGGGGGTCGACTTGATTGGTTCAGGGTGGGCAGGACTGCTTACTAGCTGGCAACCAAAACACGTTTTGCAAAATTTTTCTGCCTCTTTGTCAACTCCAGGCCACCATACTTTTGATCGCAACCTCTGCTTCATACTAACAATACCAGGATGCCCTTCGTGTGCTAGCGTAAGGACTCGGGATCTCAACTTGCTGGGTATTACAATTCTGGTACCACGGAGGATTAGCTTGCCAATCACACACAGTTCACTGGCTACAGGTATGTACTGCTTGAGCTGGTCGTTCCTCCAGGTTCCCCTCATTATACAGTTACGCAACTCACTGAATTCTTCATCTTCTGCTGATGCTTCTTCAATCTCGCGTGTGGTCATCGCCCGTGGAGTGGACGTTACTGCTACAAATCGGACAAATACATCTGATACTTTGTGCGCTACCGTTGAATCAGCTTGGTTCTCTTCTTGTAGTAAGCGTGATAGCGAATCTGCAATGTTCTTCTCTCCTGGCAGGTATTTTACTTTGAAACTGTATAGTTGTAACCTCAGAATCCATCGCTCAATTCTGGCGCAGGGCTTTGATTTGTTGGAGTATATTGTCTCCAATGGCTTGTGATCTGTGTACAGTTCGAATTCAATGCCGTACAGGTACACATGGAAACGCTCGCATGCCCAAACAACTGCCAACGCCTCTTTCTCAGTCTGAGAATACCGTTTTTCCACATCACTCAAACTTTTGCTGGCATAGCTGATAACTCTCTTTCTTCCTTGCTGTTCTTGAACAAGTACCGCGCCAAGACCGACTGGGCTTGCATCTGCTATAATTAGTGTCCTGGCGTCTTTGTTAAAATACCCAAGGGTTTCAGCACTTGTTAATCTGCTCTTCAGCTCATTGAATGCTTTTCTCTGCTCGCCTCCAAACTTGAAACAGACACCTTTCTTTGTCAGTCTACGCAAAGGTTCAGTTACTGTGGCAAAATCTGAGATGAACCGTGCATTGTAGTTAGCAAGTCCCAGGAAACTCCTAACTTCTGACACATTCTGCGGCTCTCTCGCCTCGACAATAGCTTTCACTTTTTCTTCAGTTGGACCGATGCCCTTGGTTGTTAGCGTGAGTCCCATAAACACTAGCTTGGTCATGTGAAACTTGCACTTCTCTGCATTTAAAGTTAAGTTCTTCTCTTTCAGTTTCTCCAAGACTCGCTTTAATCTCTCGTCATGCTCCTTGGTAGTTTTCCCATGTACAATTATGTCATCAGAGATGTTAGCAACTCCCTCACAGTCACTAAGTGCTAGCTGAATAACATGCTGATATACTTCTGGGGCTGAACTTATTCCAAACATTAGGCGCTTATATTGAAACAATCCACAGTGAGTGATAAAAGTAGTCATGCTACGGGAATCTGGATGGAGTTCCAACTGATGATATCCCCACTTCAAATCAAGCTTACTAAACACTGTGCTTTGGTTCAGGCTTTGGAGTACTTCATCGACAGTAGGTATGGGGTAGCGTTCTCTGATTATGGCTTCATTGGCCTTACGCATGTCCACGCATAGCCGAATTTCATCATTCTGTTTCGGTACCACCACTACTGGACTAACCCATGGTGTTGGGCCCTCTACTGGCTCGATAATATCCATATTTACAAGTTCCTCAACCTTCTTCTTCACCTTGTCACGGAGGCTGAATGGAGTACGTCTGACTGGCTGGGCTACTGGGGGTACATTAGGATTAACATGTAACTTGACTTGATAGTCTTTCAACTTGCCTACACCATCAAATACTCCTTTGTAATCAGACATGATCACTTCTTTGGATTGCACTGTATAAACTGGAGCCCCTAATTTCAACACACCTGGTTGCAACGCAGTTTCTCTTCCAAGTAGTGCTTCTCCTTCACCATCGATGACAACAAATTCAGCTTGAACCTCTCTCTCAGCTACTTTCGTCAACGCTGAAAATGTCCCCAAAACTTTCGATGGCTCCTTGCTTCCATACGCGTAAAGCTTCTTGTCACATTTCTTGGATACACAGACAATCTTCTGCTGCTTTAGGTCATTCCATAGACCTTTGTCTACAATGTTAGTGCTCGCCCCTGAATCAATCACCATTTTCACAACACAACCACCCACAAGTACCTGAACTTTTTCCGGCTGTGACACTGATTGTACAGTGAACGCATACTCATCTTCCTCGTCATCATTTTCTCCCTGCATATATCTCACTTTTCTCTTCTCTTTTGGTTTCTTATCGCCTCTACGTTCACTCTCCTTGCTTCTGCATTGCGAGAAAAATGATCAGCACCACCACATGACCTGCAGGTTTTTCCTTTCGCGGGGCATTCAGGGTCTCGTCCAAAATGTCCTGTGTTGCCGCATCGATAACATGTTTTGTTTCCAGGCTCACCCGATGTCTTCTTCCCTTTATGATAATGCTTGTTTTCGCTTGAGTCACGAACTTGATTCACAGTAACGCCTCTACTCTTCATACTCTCCAGCTGAGCTTGCACAGCCTCAAAGGACTCAGCAGTTTTGAGTAGAACTTCTAGGGTTAAAGTGTCACCTTTCTCAAGCAATTTCCGCGTTAAATCATGGGACGTACACCGCTGAACAACTTGATCTCGAATTTGATTATCCGCCTGATCACCGTAATCACAATCTTTCACAACTTGTCTTAACCTTGTCACGAACTGAGCCACCGTTTCACCCTCTCGCTGTTCCATACTTCGGAAAAGATGATTTTGGTATGTCGAATTTACCTTTGGAATGAAATATGCGTTTAACGCATTCACAGCTTTCTCATACTCGGTCGCTGTGCCCGGATCAGCCAAAGTTTCGAAGCTTTCGTCCACTTGTTCCCCGGCACAATGCAAAAGTAGAGCCCTTCTTTGCACTTTATTGTCGGCTTTGTCTGCTTGGATGATGAGGCCCTTGCTGTCGGCATATAACGAAAAACCTTTAAGCCATCGTTGCCATCGCCTACCAATGCTCGACGGTTCGCCGTTCGGATCGAAGGGTTTTACACTTGTTAGTAGATCATCCACTTTGATAGAGGCCATAATTCAACTTTTTTGACCTAAAAGACTATCCTCGTCGCCAGATGTCGTGTCTTAATCGCGTATTGAAACCGATTCACACGGATTATCAAGCTGCACCAGAAACACTCCGAATCTAATCCGCCATGCTTTTAATAATCAATCCCATCAACCTTTGTACGGCTAGATACATCATGTAAGCTATACTGAAAGAACACTACAATTAGATTCGGTTTTTGTGATATCCTACATAATCAAGGTCTCTGTTACCTTGACCTTGATTATTCTGGATATCACATTGCAAGTCCTGGAAAGTCATGGAAAATAAAAGTTGTGTTAGTGCAGATGTCAAAGCAAGGGCAATGTAAGATAGAGATGACTAATTTATTAAAATTCACGGATTTTAGTGCCAGAGTTTGTGTCGGTCGAACTGAGTAACATTAATTGTAGGTCAAAGAAATACCCTAAAACATAGAAAGTTTTGAAAATATTCAAAGTGACAGCTAACCCTTCGGTCATGGAAACCTAAAAAAGGTCATGGAAAAAGTCGTGGAATTTGAAGAGCTCCAAGGAGTGCGAACCCTATATATGTGATTTTGGAAATCAGCAGTACCTACATATCTGTAGGTTGTGAGCACAGTGTACATCAGTATGATTCCCTAGGCAATGTCAAGCAGTGTTCTGTGCGATGGTGTGGTTGCTGTTATTATTATGTTATTTTGTTCAAAAAATGTGAAATAAAAGAGTTTTCAGATTTGGTTTTTTTGCTATCGAGAATAATCAAGCCCTTGGTAAGTGTTGTCTGCCTAGACCTTGGGCTCAGCTGATAACACATTTCTCAGCCTTGATTATTTTGAATATCCAAAAAAACTTCATTCATTAATATTCATCCAATAGTATCTGTCACACTGTCCTTCATATAAATTTCCCAGTATACAAATAAAGACAACTGTACAGTATACTGGTCATACAAAGGCCTTGAGCAAGTTTTAAAACAGAAATAATTAGACTAAGGAGACACTCCTCATACACTTATGGCTCATGATCCATAATTTTTTAACCATGGTTAGTCATTACAAAGAGTAATTTTGGCAAAAGACTGTTTTTAGCCTGGGAGCTTAATAAACCATGGTTTTGATGACAGTGAGACTGTCGCTAAAAACTTTGTGATGAATACTCCATCTTTCTTACAAATTATGCAAGTATCAAGTGTCAGTGAATTTTCATAGACTTGAACCTTATTAAACTAATTTATCAATTGTGCTTTGTGAACCCCAAGGATATTATAGCTCATTTTTGGAGCATTGTTTATGACAATTATTAAATCATCACTTAATACAGCACATTACTTGTATATACAGTAGACCTTTTTACCGATATTGAATTTATTAGATTAAAGGAGTATTATGGGATGCCCCGGGGGCACTCGCTCAGTATTTACATACACTTTTGGAGCAAAAACAGAACTTCACTGTATATTCCTCGGGAAAAAGGCGATCATTATTACATCCAAACGTGGCACAACAATCTTTTTTTCCCATTACAATCTTTTTCTAGGAAAACTTAAAGACAAAAAATAATTGGCCCGAAAAGTGCCGTAAATACTGATTGAATGTATTGGATTGTGCTCATTTCCCCTGGGCATCCCATAATACTCTTTAAATCTTATAAATTCAATATGGCCGCCCTATCAGCATTATTGTAGTTGTGCAAAAATTATTTTAGCATTGCTATTGATTCTATGTTATTTTACAGAACAAATGTACACGTTACTGGCCTGATCCTGATACCACGAAATATGTTGGTCCATATCATGTGCGATACATGAAGGAGACAGAGTACACTGAATACACACTAAGAGAGTTTGAGTTGACGTCAATAGATGATGTAAGTTGCACTTCTTTTATCCAAAATATGGCTTTGTAGGCCATAAACATTTATTATTTATTAATCATCATTATTCATTTTGTACTGTGAATGCTTGAATCAGCACCTAGGGCACTTAATACAAGTATTTTTCTAAATCCAGAGTGGGTTGGCGTTGGACTTATTCCGTCTTTCAACTTTTGGCCTTAAAATAACATTGTCACTATTTCCAGTAATATAGCACGGGAAACAGTAAACTAGAAACTACCTGTCAGAAGAAACTCAAATCTGTTTGTGGTCACTCTCGAAGTCCTGGTTTTGCTAAGTTCTAGCATTGTAAACCTTCTATCCTGCTTCTATGCCATATATATCTTAGCTTCGTGGGAAAGGTGTGTGGCACTTAAACTTTACTTGAAGTGAGCCCTTTGTCAATATTTTTAGCCTGAAGTGGGTCTCTTACAATATATTTGAATCTTGCTCATCAAAGTCAACAACATAATCATATAGTATTGAATCTTACCATTGTCCAAGCAACACACTCAAGTATATTTTAGTTGAGGATGCAGATGCTGAAACATGACCCTTTTTTGTGGTCAATAATACTATTTTCTGTCTTTTCTTTTTAAAAGAGGACTTGAGCACTTATTCTGTATTTTTTAAAATGTACTTTTAAAGTCTTTAAAGCCTTTAATAGGAACTTTACTAGTGGCAGCCACGTTATCCTTTTTAAACTTCATTGACTCCCGATTTCTTATCGTGTTGTGTTCAAGTTACTTTTGCTGATTTTTAAAGCTCTAAAAAATGGTCTTGGACTTGGGTACTTGGTCGAATTACTTCAACACCAGAAGCATTCCAGGACAATTCGTTCAAATTCTCGAGAACTACTTTGGCAGCAAAAATCCAATACTAAATCTTATGGTGATAGGGCATTTTCCACATGTGCCCCAAGACTGTGGACCGTATTCTGCTAGACATTCATAAATCAAACTGTTTTTGTACATTTAAAAATGATTTCAAGACCTACCTTTTTTATGAAATTAATTAATGATGGGTTAATTTATTACCAGATTTTATTGTTTTATATCTTCTTATTCTTATGTTTATTTTTATGTATTAATTGTTATTATTTTTAATATTGTTGTAAAGCGGCACAAACAACTAGTGGATGTGAGCAATATACCAGTAGAAGTGTTTTGTTATTATTATTATTATTATTATTATTGTTATTATTACTATTATTATTATTATTATTACTATTATGTCATTTCTGGTGTGCCCTTATGGTGAAATTGCCTGTAGCAGGCCTTGTCTGACAGAGTGTTGAATTCTTGAAAAAGTCTTGAAATTTGCTCAGCAATTTTCCAGACCTGGAAAAAGTCTGGAAAATGGAGATAGCCGAGATAAAGTCTGGAAAAATGGTCAAAAGTCTTGAGTTTTTTTCAAAGCTATGACAAGTGCTTTATAATTTTTTTGGTTTTGGTCAATTTGAATCGATCTCGCCCATAGGTTTGAAAAAAAGCTTTGTTCCTGCGATTTTTATGGTCTTTATGGGTCACCTATTTGATAACCTCGAGTGTGGACAAAGAGAATATTGTTTTGGAAAAAAAGTCTTGAAGTAATATATCAAACATGAGACGCAGTGTTTCATCACCAGATGAAACACCGAGAAGAGAGTTGGAAATACGACGCGCAGCGGAGTATTTTGGGCGAACTTCGAGGTGTTTCATCTGGTGTTCTCAAACTCATTAATAATTCATAAAGAAAATACAAAGAAAATTAATGTTTAATGAGGTGTTTCATCTGGTGATGAAACACTGTGTCGAATGTTTGATATTTCTTCTCAAACAAAATCATTTTTGAAGGGGAAATTAAGGATGCAAAAATGAGCAGTTTTTCATCTGATATCCAAACACTCATTAACATTAATTTCCTTTGAATTTTCTTTATGAATTATTAATGAGTTTGAGAAGTTTAGATCCACTACTCCTTCTACCCTGCTGTAGCCATATCCTGATTGCCTGATTGTGTATACGAAATTTCATAAATTCACTTTGTAGTATGGTTTGTTTTTATGTCATGTTACAGCCTATACCTCGAACAATATACCAGTTCCATTACACTGGCTGGCCAGATCACGGTATTCCAAAAGACCCAAGCCCTGTATTACATATTCTTCATGAAGTGAACTCAAGACAACAGTCCATTCCAATGGCTGGGCCAATTATTGTTCATTGCAGGTACATGGAAATTATTTCAGTACTGTTTAAAAAGCGAGCAGGTTGAAAAACTCGAGGCAAAGGCGGGAATTTTTACACCTGATAATATATTTCTGCGAGTTTTTTTAATGGCTTCAAAACCCCTGACATATACTCATTCTTACGCTAATATTTAGATTTGGGGTTATTTTGGTCTAAAAAATTGGACGTTAAGTTTATTTTATTTTTGTTTTCAGTTACAGCTCAGGAACTGAGTTGAACTGTCTTTTATTCTTTCAGTGCTGGAACAGGAAGGACTGGAACATTCATTGTTATAGATAACCTGGTTAACATGATCAAGGAGCAAGGTACTGTGCTTTGTAGTACAATCATGAGTAACCTCCCGCTTATTTTTTCGCGTTTCTCAGGCGATTGATGGCAAGTGCGAGACGTGCGTCAGCGCAACACACGCGCGATGGGGAGAATGCGCGCAACGTGTCTCTTGCTTTACACCCGCCTCGCACTCGCTTTTGCTCGCCTGAAAAACGCTAAAACAATCAGGCCGGTTCTTCAGGCTAACGTTCTGTCAAGTGAGAAATGGTGAATAAGTCGAAACATAATGACAAAATGCACTTTATTTGAGTGTCAATGTATTTAACACGAAAGTACTAATTGGGGACACTATATTAACGTCTCCTACTGGAGACGGAACCGCCATTTTACGTGGTCATCCGAACCACGCGAAGGTCTACCCGCTTGCAATGCAAAGGGAATACCTTTAATTCTCAGTTACTTTAAGACCCTGAGTATTGGTCCAGTCCCTAGAATCGAACCCTCGACCTCCCCCTTTGCAGTCAAGGGCTCTTCAGACTGAGCTAATTCAGCTTTCCTTTCTATTGCAGGTCTTGATTGTGAGATTGATATTTCGAAGTCTATTCAGAATGTAAGAGCCCAGCGATCTGGTATGGTCCAAACTGAGGTGGGTTTAAGTTCTTCTCAAAGGTCATTAACCCTAATATCAAAATTTGAATTCTCATTTGTTGCCCCTATTCATTTTCTACAGAAGTAGTGGGGAGAAGTTGATAAAATGTCAAGTAAATTCGTCTTATGTGATCATGTGCGTAATTCTCATGACCACTCTTTGATACTGGTCACTCTATTGGTTTAAAGGGTTAATTCGTAAAGAAAATGCGAATGAAATGAATGTTTAAATGAGTGTTTGGAAATCAGATGAAAAGCCCCTCATTTTTGCGCCCTTGATTTCTCCTTCTTAAATTATCTTTTAAGAGAACTGGTATCTAGACTGCGAGTAATCTCTCTTTTTCTTCATATTTAGTGAGGGGAGTACACGCGCGCGCGAGCACCGAGAAACAAAGCCGGGAGATGCGACGTGCCTCTCCCGTCTAGCGCCTTCAGTCACGCGTGTGGTCACTTTCATGTTTCGCGCGTTTCGCTCGACGAGTTAAGAGAAAAGACAGACCGCTCGTAGTCTAAGTGATATCAAACATTTGATTTCACCACAAAATCAAACACCTTGAAGTTTTGTAAAAAATAACCGCTGCGTGTTGTACAGTCTACTGTGTTCTTATTACCTGGTTAGCTCAGTTGGGAGGGTGCCGGCCTGCTGATTAAGAGGTCGAGGGTTCAAACCCGGGCCGGACCAATACTCAGGGTCTTTAAATAACTGAGATGAAAGTGCTGCCTTTGAAATGACGTCTGCAAACGGTTAGACTTCCTAGTCTTTTCGGACAAGGACGAAAAACCGTAGGCCCCGTTTCACAGGACTTTCACTCATCTGGTTCTTGTGGGACGTAAAAGAACCCACACCACTGTTCGAAAAGAGTAGTGGACGTAGACCCCGGTGGTGTGGCCAACCTTTCCTGGGATAGGTGGGTGGGTGGGTTATCTGCAAGGAGAGATCTTAATATAAGGATAACCTCATGATCCTCCTTAAGGTGTCGTAATGGCTACCAGTAAACAGTGTATCTGTGTACACCTCTAACGGACACCCTGCTAAAACGAACACTTAGAGCTGGTCCCTGCCCTTCTTTACTCCTCTTACGGGCATCCTGTCTAAGTCCCTCCAGACGTGCAAGAGTTTATTTTGTTTTATTTCCTCATTATAGGCTCAGTATGAGTTTATCTACAAAGCCATCCAACATTACATCAGCACAGAAACAGCAAGATTGAACAGCGACAATGTAAGTACAATAAAACCAGCATTAAGCAGACACCAGAGGGAGGCAGCGTGTCCGAGCGCTCAGCGCGTCGGACTCACAATCGGGCAGTTCCGAATTCGAGTACTGCTCTGATCACTTGCTGGATTTATTCTGGGTCGTCCAGAGTTCAAATCCTCGACCATGCTTTTAGATATCAACTTTGTTCCTCCTGCCTCCCAGTTGGGATTTTTAATCCTGTTACGTCCGGTTTGGATTATTTGTTTCCAGTTATTTGGGTTGAGTGACTGTAACTGGACAAGCTAAGTGCACTTGCCATGGTAAACAATCTTTCAACCTTAACCTTTGTGCCGAATTGCGCTCCCGCGCAACCTCGTAATTGCCAATTTGCCACTTTGAGGTTTTGCGGGAGACTTGGTCGAGATGGTTGTCAAAGTGCATTGTGGGACTGTTTGGGGGGCCGCATTTTCAACATGGCGGCAAATTCGTACGTCAAAACAGTCCCACAATGCACTTTGATAACAATCTCTACCCGGCCTTCCGCCCAACCTCAAAGTGGCAAATAGAGATGTTTAGCTTCGTGTATACGGCAAACGGCAAACGTCAGATTCAAATTGAGAATTACTCAAAATAGAAAATGAGCCGATAAAAACAGCTCAAAACAAAAAATACGGAGAGATGGCAAATATGATATTGGTGTAGGAGAGACGTTTAATGATTTGACTGATCTGGTGGAGCATTATAGGACAAACCCCATGGTGGAAAAATCTGGCAATGTTGTTCAGCTCAAAACAGTAAGTTGTAATATGGAGATTTAGCCAGGGCTAAAAGCGAAGCTCCCGTTAAGAAATTCATAATTTAAATCAAACAATACTGTAATCCAGATATCAGTTCTCATTCATGTGACTTTTGAGGCAGAGGCCGCGTGATTTAAGAGAAAAATAATTTGACAGTCCAAGAATGAAACAAATTTTACATCGAGTTATTGGTCTTATTTGTACACCCAAAAATAGCAATCATGTTCGATCACAGTAGATTAGGCCTTGAAAACAAATAGACCTATTCGTGTATTGTATTTGCATTAGCTGGTGCATCATAATGTGGTATTCGCCAGTCTCTCCAACATTGCTCCGTTAGAAAATTGAACAACCCCGAAATATAATTTTAAGAAACACACGCCCCACGATAGTCCTTGGTGGCAGCCAATTTACACGTTGCATTCCTCTGTCTAAAAGAGAGGTCGAAATAAAAAATCAGGCCGTATTTTTTGTGTTCGACAAGTTTAGTTTACAAGTAAATCTTGGTGACGAATCTGGTGGCGTGTAAACCAGCCTTTTAAACATACTTTTTTTCATCACGTCTCAGGTAAACAATACTATTTTTTATCATACAGACCTCGGACAGAACTTTTTTTTTTGCCCTATTTAAACCTATAATTCTGCAGTTTTTCACAACTGAGACAATTTGCACTCATTCAATATCCACGACGATCAAAGCACGCGCTTCCTTTGCACAACAAATTATAGCATTAGTTTTCATGAAGAGAATTCCATAATGCCGAGACGTTTCAGTTAGAAAAATCTGGTCCTATGTGATATGCAGGGTAATAATTATGGGCTTTTAGTGAAAACGATAAAAAAAATTCCCAAAATCACTTTTCGGCCAGCCGGACGGGCTCTCACTTTTGACAGGCAACAAATTTGCAGTGTGTGCGATTAATAGAGTTACCATTTACGCTTCAACATGATAGAGAAATTGTTATGTTTAGGTTTTATTTCCCTTTATTTATTAAACTGTGTATGGTTTTGTTATGTGTAATCTTTTAAAAGCGAGTGATATAAATTCAGTGAAACATGTACAGAGACAGTAATTTTCATTCACGAAGAGAAGTATTGAGAGTAAAGTGTCTCTGAAAATCATGAGTCAGGTAACCATAAGCTTATTTATGTTTTAAGCCGGCTTCCCGGTGTTTGCTCTTTTTTAAGATGAACTCGAGGCAAGAAAATCGCTCAGAGCTTTCTGTTTACAGCCAAAATCATAACTAAATAATCTTCGAAACCTTTTCTTTGAATTTGCGGTCAAAAAATGTCTAAAGGCTTTTTAAACCTGTTACTATTGTAGGTTAGATAATTGCTTGTGTATAAACTTAAGCAGCATAAACCATACGCTCAACTTCCGGAAACCGAAAAAAAGAACACATCAAAGACAATAATTGCTCAGGCTTACCAGTCGAGATGCTGCTTCTGAAGTTCATCAAATGTTCCAGAATCGCTTGAGACTTTTCAACCCTCTTGCGCCTCAAGCAAGGGCAAGTGAGTAAGCTCATTTTTGAAAACGATGTCATCCGATATCGGATTTCCAATGACTTTGACAAGCAGTGCATTTGTCAACAAAAAACGCAATAAACAAACCAGCCATGAATTACAGAACAATCTTGATAGCAGCTGTATTTCATTTTGTACACCACGTAGAAAAAGACAGTTTAAAACATCACAAGATGACACAAAACTCTGTCAGCTCCAGTAAGCAAGTTTCCAGCCGCTGCATAAATTTTCCGCATGAACTCACCTGTCAAATTTTGACCAATCAGAACACAAAAATTGGACGTAGAGCGTGATCAACGCGTGAGAGTGACAAAAGTTAAAAGCGATTGCCTTCCCTGCATGTAAATGTAAAAGCCGGTTGAATGTTCGCGTCCGAGGTCAGTTCGAAATCAAAATTTTAAAAGTGCCGCTCATGAACACGACTTATTTCAAATGCAGTTTTAAAAAACTGAACTTGAGCCTGCGGTCATTTGTAAAGTAGCAACTTGTCAGCGGATACTTTCAAAAAAAAACTCGAACTGGCAGTGGGTCGATACCTGAGCCCGCGATAAGGTCAGGCGATAATGGTCAGCAGAAACACTATTTTGACAGCTGTCAATTAATCAAAACATGGATGTACAATATCAGCTTGCAGGCTCCCAAACTAGCTAGAAAGTGTAAGATTAAACATTGGTATGCCTGTGTTGCGGAGGGACGAAGGTCGGGTGGTCGGTTACGTCAGTTTCTAAGCTATGGGGCTTCGAATTAATCCCGTGATCAAATAAAATATCAGCGCAAAACTTAAAAGACTACGTGACCTCAATGGATAGAAAAATGAGCCCGCGATACACTCAGGTGATGATGGTCAGCGTATACTCTAGTTTGACAGCTGTCAATTAACTTTCATTAGAATGGCGAATATTCGAATTAACAGACTACGAGTGTAAATAAGACATATCCGTCCGGCATGTATTGGTAAATGCCAGATCGTGTACCTGAGCGAACCTGAGCCCACGTTATTAGTTTTTTGATAGTGGTCTTCACATGTCCCATTTTGACAGCTGTCAATTGACCTTAATTTGGCTTGCCAATATAACTTAAAACGACTGTCAGCCAACTGACAGCCCTGCCCGTCGTAGTTTCGTTTTTATGTTGAATCGGTAAGTGTGACATATTATATCAGCTTATATGTAGGGGCAAAACGACTGGTCTTTCATCTGAGCCCGCGAGATGGTCATGTGCTAATTGTCAGCGGATGTCTGATTTTGACAGCTGTCACTCTAATCGTACTCATACGGGTGGCTTACATAACTGAAAGGCTAATCAAGTTGTGCAAGATCTATTGTGACATTTGACATCGGCTTACATGAAGTGTATGTACGGGTGGGCGGGCGTACGCTACGTCATAACCAAATTTTCTCGGACGGATAGTTTACCAAATTTTCTTACCCATGGTGCTCCGCTGCTCGCGCGCTTCGCGCGCGCGAGAGCTCCGCTATAAGTACTTTTCTCATCATAATCATGTCAATTGAAAACATCAAGACCAACACCTCCTTAAATTGAATAATAATGATAATAATAATAATAATAATAACAGCAATAGTGATAATGATGATGATGATGATAATAATTTTAATGATAAAAGTAATAATAATGATTTCTAAAATCACGGTAATCTAATATTACATGTATGTAGCAGTATAAAACAATCAAATGCTAAATGTTGTAATTGATAATTTCATATTAATGTGTTTTTAGCCATTTAATGCAACAAGAATAAATGCAGCAGCTATTGAGGACAGTGGCAGTGAGGTGACAGGAAAAGGTAATGTCTCAATTGTACAGGAGCAAAATTTTGTTGTGGAGGAAATAAAAGAAGTTGAATTGAGATCTCGTCATGGGAATTTTTTTTATGACAGAACTTAGTTATTTCTCTCGACGTCGTCGTGCACCTAGCAGACTACCGATGAAGAAATTAAAATCTTTGTTACAGAAAACACGGAAAGTGAGAGTTTTTGTGTGGAAGGGTATTCGGAAAAATACACCATTGTCGTCTAAAATTCATTATTACGTTAAAAATAGTTTACACTTAGGGGGTGTTTACATGAGAAAAATTGCACCGGCGCGAGTTTCACACTGGGATGACTTTTTGATTTCGTATCGCGTTTACATGATGACTGGGTCATCTCATATCTTCTTATTTAAAGGTACATTTCATGTTGATAAAATGCACGTGTGGTTCACAATCGCAAACATTACGCATGCGCTACCCGTTCCAGCCTACCGGCAGACCGATTTCAAACCGAAATGGGTGGTCGTTTCGCGTTTACATGATACCGTTGCGAGATTTCGTACCGGAGTGAAATTCTCGCCCCCGTACGAGAACCGGGGTGAACTCACGCCGGGGTGACTGGCGCCGGCATAACATTTTGTGGTGGTATCATGTAAACAAATATAGAGCTAAGAGGGGGAACCGGAGTGAACTTGCTCTGGGACGAAAGTCGCCCCAGTGTCATGTAAACACCCCCTTAAACAGGTACAGAAATAAGGCGTGAAATAAAGCGTAGAGTCAGAAGCTATATGGCTCGGAAAATGGAAGAATAGAGAAGATACCCCTTTCAACTTTAAGTGGCCAAAGGAATCTGTCTTTGTATTAGGGGTACACTTTTCGAACTGCTAAAGAACATGTGTTAAATTAAATTTTTATGACAAATTAGATGCTTTGGAAAACACACTGAATAACTGGAAGAGACGAAAATTAACTATACTAGGAAAAAGAAATATTATAAAATCTCTAGGCCTCTCAAAACTTATTTTCATTGCATCTGTTCTTCCACTCCCTGAAAAATTCTGTGATCAGCTTAACAAGGTCACCTTTAACTTTATCTGGGACAACAAAATAGCCAAAATAAAGAGGAACACAATTATTGGCGAACGCGAGAATAGGGGACTGAACATGATTGATTTTTCCTTAATGAACAAAGCCTTAAAAATGCATTTGGATAAAGCGCTTTAGACTGAATGAGAATTCAGCGTGGACGGTTATTCCTAATGAAGCCACTTCACACTTGGGAGGTTCTTCCTTCCTCTCTAAGTGCTACTGCAGCATCAAAGATATCAGCATTAAGGAGTTACCACTCTTTTACATAAGAGCACTGCAATACTGGTTTGAGTTTAAGGATATGCAAGATAATACTAAGCCAGGTATAAAAAACACGATCATATGGAACAACAAAGGTATTAAAATTGATAATAATACAATCTTCTTCCGAACTTGGTTTAGTGGAGGAGTTTCCACTATAGAAAACCTTCTTGATCGTAATCTTGATTTCATTACTTACGGAGAATTTAAAACCCGCTACCAAATAAAAGCACATTTTATGACTTATTACGGAGTAATAAAAGCAATTCCAAATGAATTGATTACAAACGAACGTACAACAAGAACAACCTACACAGCACAGTCAGAGCTTGAAAGCACTAACAACCATGGCTACACGTAAGAATTTTGTTAATCACATATTTGAGATACCGACAGCCACACAACGCCTTATTGACAATGGGTTTCCACCAGACCACATAAACGATTACTTTAACGTAGCTTTTTCTAGCACGAAAGAAACAAAGCTAATTACGTTCCATTACAAGATTTTACACGACATAGTTTTCACTAAGGAAAAATTGTTCAGAGCTAATATCGCCAATAGCGATCTCTGTTATCTTTGCTTGGAAACAAAACAAGATCTGAAACACATGCTAGTCTCGTGTCAATTCTTCTCAGAGTTCTGGGAAGCTTTCCTGTACTGGTACAAATCTCACGTTTCAATAGCACTAGAACTATCAACAACCTCCTCAAGTTAACTAATCATCTCTTACTACTTGCGAAATATATCTACTGTTGTAGTATCACAGAAGAGCCTTTGTTATTAAGTGTTTGTCTAACTATAGTGGTAAACAAAGCTGAGATAGAAAAACAAATTGCAGTAAGCGTTAATTCACCTCAATATTATTATAATACATGGAAACCTTTAATTGAGAAGAAGTTTGTTCGCTAGCTGTATCTAAATTCAACTAATAAGGTTATACTTAACATTAGACTCGCATTTTATTGTACTTTTGTAGCAAGACTGTAATACAATATACTGTACTTTAAAGTATTGTAATTTTATTATTATATTATTATTATTATTTTTGTTTGTTTGTTTAAGTGCTGATAGAGACTGAAATAATAATAATAAAAAAAATAAATAAATTGCGGATTGTGGTGATGTCACTGTGAGCCGCAGAGTGTAGGTAAATTTCACAGAATATAACCCCGTTCGCTGTACTAAGCAGTGAATTTAAGTAAACTACTTCAAGTCTGACTGAATCAGTGATTGTTATGACGAGAAAGTGAAATTTTCCTGGAAAATGAAACGCTTTATCCCAGTGGTGCTGTGATAAAATGCATGCTGTGTACAGCTCTAAAAATTGTACTCTGAGATCGCGTAAACATCAGCTGTACGGAAGATATTGTTACGTAATGTAATAAGACACTGAACATGTGTAGGTCTTATGTCAGATTTCCCTTCATGTGTAGATGCTCCTCGGTTCATGATTAGTTCTAATAAAGAAGCTAATCAGATAACTTAACAGATATCAAAAGTAGACACTAAGCAGCTATGGAAAATGTAATTACTTTCACGCGATTTTGATATCTTACAAAACGGACGACAAATTCAACAGGAATACGCGCGAACTGAATTAACTGTCTGTTATATAAAGTTCTGCTAAACTTACACATTTTTCCTTTACTGAACAAAACTGTACCGGGCCGTATCTTAGTCCGCTACATAGAAGCTATTTATATATTCATACTGATGAAAATCATCGTTCAATGTTTTGAGTGTAAACTCCCTGAAAGAGTTCTCCTCACTGGAGCTATATCAATAGGTTTTCAAAGGTTTCACACGGGTGTGAAACTAAGCCGGATGTGCGGCCTGTCTCTCCTTGCAAATTTTTACGTTTTGAGTAGTTACATTATGACATATAACACTCGTTTGTATTTAAAACTAAAAAGTAGCATAACAGCACCACCGCCTTTGACAGCAAAACTTATCTCCAAGCCCTATGGGCTTCAAGCAAGCGAAACTCAACGTTAATAAGAGCGTTCTTGTTGCAATTAAAATTGTCTTTCTATGATTGGTGCATTTCGATCCTCCCGTTAAAAAAATGTCGCACAAGATAAAATGCACACACTGTTCGCGGTAGGCCCACACTAAAAAATCACATTGATTCGTACATTTCGTTCATCTCGTCTCCAACATGTTAGGCAAGATCATCAAGATAAACTCTCGAACAACAGCGTACACTCTGCGCTTTTCATAAACATGCAAATTCTGAGGTTCAAAAGCCAATTCACATTTGCATTTTTCGCTGCCGCCAGTCATCTTAGCGGACCTCTTAGAAAACTCAAGTTTACTTCAGCGGGTTCAAAATGTCATGGTTTGGGATTTGTGATTGGTGGATTTCGATCCGATTTGTGAGTTTCTGTGTTTCAAGGTTGGTTGCTTGTAACCAAACAACGAACAAGGTTCGTTGCTTGTGATAAATGCTGGCGTTGTTTTGTGGTGCGCGAATGTTCCTTACTCCGTCGCTGAACCCCCACATTTAAAAGCCAAGAGATAAAAAAGTTAAGGTCTCCTTCTCCCTCTCTGGGTCGCTATTTCAACTCGATCTCTCTAATCTTCCTTCCACGACATGGTGAACAGATCAAGTAGCTTTGGTTTTTTTCCGAAAAAATTATACAAGCATGAAAGGCTATAATAGAGCATTTAGGTGGATCTTTCTCCAGGTTTTGGCTCTGATTCGGATGATAATTAATTTTGTTAGCTTTTGTTTACAGATTGGAAGCTTATTCGATCTCAAGTTCATGCATCACAGCAAAGAAAGCCCCCAAAAGTTATCCTAAATTATCCTCTTTCTTTTGTATCGATAAAAATCGTGAGAAACATCAATATTGACTGACAAAAATTTATATGATTTTTTTAGTTCCAAGTGAGATCATCGCACGAGGACCAAGAGCAAAGCTTGCCTATAAAAATGCTTTAAAGACTGGGAAAGTGAAGGTGTACCGAGCGCGAATTATGCTAATTGGTCAAGATCGTGCGGGAAAGACAAGTTTGAAGAAGTCCTTCTTAAGTCTGCCATTTGACCCTGCGGAGGAAAGCACTGACGGAATCGAAGTTGAGCCCTCGAAATTCGAAGTAGACATCGATCGAGTAAAGAACTGGAAACGCACTGATGAAAAGTGGGACGTGTCTCAATTTGCTGCTGATCTTGCAAAGATGGTGGCTAAGAAACTCCAAGTGAATACCGACGACGAAGAAGGAGGAGATGAGGAAATCAATGACGAAGACAACCAATTCGAGAAAGAGGGAGATGTTAATCTAGTCCAGGTAAACCAAAGAGGAGCAACTTCAGAATACCCAGCCACTATCACGTTTCTTAGCCCCGTAGTCGCTTGCCTTGGTGTCTGCCCTTTCTTAAGGGGTTAGAGGAGAGGAGATGGGAACAACGTTGCTCTTTTCGCTTCTCTCTTCCCTCTTTCCCGCAGAAACGCCTGATACTTAGGCTACGTAGTCGTTAAGTTTAAGAATGCCTATAAAGGTGTGTAAATGTCATGCTGCCGCAGTCCGTATACCAGCGGTCGGTTAAAAGTAAATTAAAGGAGCCGTGTCACATGCATTGCGCATGCTCAATTCTTTGAAAAGTGTTCAGCCCAACAAGAAATCAAACTGACGCGAATCCTCACAAATCAAGTGAAAATCTGTTTCCATCGTCGCTAATCGGTGTTCGTTTTGTATTTTATCTATATATTTAAATTATTTAGACATAAGGCTTTCGTGTTACAGTAATTTTTTGGAGAATTGTGGAAATCCTAAGCGCTATTTAGCGCTCCAAGCGAAGGATGTCGGCTGGAGGCAGTAAACGCTACGGCAGTGGCCGTAGGCTCTTGTCACCTGGAAGCTTTGTTAGGAGCATAGAGAAGAGATCTGACTCTCGGAGTTCGTGGCTCAAGTCCCATGGAAGGATTTACGTCCGCTGTGACATTCTGGACACATTTAAAACGCTGAAAGCTCAGTGTGTCTTCTCCACCGACACTGCTTTCTTGCAGCATTTGTTGTCGTTTGAGATGCGAAGGCAACAAAGGTGAGAAAATAAGACTTCTACATTTATATTGCTTTTTAGTCTAAGCTGCAACGTCGAATCTAACTACCTATTAAATATTACTGTATTTTAACAGTTTAAAAGCCAAGCAAGCCATGAAGAAGAGTACGGAAGAGTCAAGTGCAGTACAACAACCCCAAGCAGGTAAGATGCACAAGATCGATCTGGAATCCCTGTTGAGGGATGTGAGCAGTGCATGTGGCCGGAACATTTATGGACACAGTCCATCGGGATTAATTCTGCTTTCATTGAAATAAAAGTTATAATATGTTGTATATTGTTTTGCAGATGATTCTAATTTCCACACCTCGACCCCTGTGAAAAGAGGCCAGTATGACGGTTCTGTCATTGCTCCACCAGTGGAAAGTCCAGTTGCTGGAATGGCTGGTGACAATAGGTAGGTTGTCATTTCGGTATTGATTTTTTGTTTCCATATTTCACATATCTGTCTCGGACATAACGGTGAAGGAGCAATTTGAAGTTCTTCCTGTGATAAAAATTTTAGATGCATCAGGTTTTCATTGAGTGAATGTCTGAACATTCAATAAATCATGATGGATGAGGAAGAAAGTTTTAGTAACTATTCTTTCAAGTAGTTCAGTTTGGTATTTCCCTTTGGTTTTTTTCTTTCTTTATTTATTTTTGTGCACGAAAACCTCTGTTAGCTAGGTACAACAGTACTTTTAGAGAGATGTTTATTGTAAATCTGCTGCACCTTTTCCACAGTGACATTGACATCACAGGCACCGACCACTCTGAGGTCAACTCAAATAGTGACAGTAGCAGCAACTCTTCTGCGACAGATTCGTTTGCAGAAAGTGAAGATGACAACTGCTTCTTGTAAGTATGAAAAAGCACGTTGATCTTCCCAATAATTTCGAAAGGTGGTGTTATGATCATTAGGTTGTGCTTTTCTTGTCAACATTTTTCTCATCAATTGAACCAAACCATCAATGGGTTAGCTGTGTTGTCATTTCCATATTCTTACCAAAATTTCTGCTGTTATTTACAACTCATGCTTTTTGCCTGTGGGTTTTCTATGCTTTCTATTTATCAATGAACTCAAGTAGTTTACTTTGTATTTTGTAAACATACTAAACTATTTTCCTTGTATTCTAGCTGATGCTTTTAGACAGATATTCCACTCACTTGATGTCTGGCATAAGTCAAAAGGAATCCGGAAGTGTCTTTCAAATGTGAGTTAGAGTTGATATTATATTAATTTTGCAGTGGCCACAAAGAACAAATTTAGTGTAATTCTTTCTAATATGTGACTCTGTCCCATGTATTGGCAAGACTCATTCCTATAAATAGAACATAAACATACATTGTGTTGTCACTTGTAAATACGCCCATGTAGTGTACTTCACTGTTGTATATTTCCAGGGTAATCAAATCATATCTTTAACCAATGGGCCAGGAATGGACTAAGAAATGTTGTTAACATAATCTGTAGAGAATTAAATGCTCAAAGTTTGACAATGATGATTGGACTGTCAATGTAGGTTTATTTTTTTGAGTCATTGCATTTATCTCTGCCAGAGAGAAAAATTTAAGGCTTGTTATTGATCTTCTGTAGGTGGGAAGTGCAAAGGGGATGGATAAAGTGGCCCTTTGGTCTGACCACATTGTTAGACACTTTTGGCACTGTTGCAGTCTGGCATCTGAAGTCGAAGGCAATGACCTAGAAGCTCTGAAGATATTGAAGGTAATTCCAATTTATCATCTTTTTTAAAGTAATTAATAACAGGGCTGTCGGTAAGAGGTGATGGGTCTATGTGGCCCCCAGCTACACTCAAAGGAAAATAGAAGAAAAATGGAACCAAACGAAACCCCCCGTTGTTTGATTCTGTGCCTACTTATTTTATGTACCAAGCAACTTGAAATCTTAGTGACAGCTCTGAATCAATTTTCAAAGACTTTTTTGAAAATTATCACATTATATTACTTCAGGCCGTAAAAACTTTGTTTCTTCACAATGTTTTAGGGTCTGTTTACATGGAGGTGGGGGACCTCCGATAGGTGAGGTAAAATGTGGTGGGTCACCCCGTCTGTCAAATTAAAATGAGATATTATATGGACAAGCGGGATACCCCACCAAAGCGGGTTACCTCACCTACATGGGGTTCCCTACCTCCATGTAAACAGACCCTATGTCATTATCATCTTGTTATATCTGTTTCAATGAAATTTTACTATTATGAAATCAGGATACCTGGATCTCACTATTACACCATGTGTGCAATCAACATGAGTGGGCTGATGGCCATTGTGACCACGAGCCAATCACTGAGGAAAACCACCAGCTTCCATGGTTTGACAGGAGATCCAAAGAGTTTGAGGCACTGGAAAAAATTATCCTGGATCCTGACCTTCTTGAAAGTTTCAAGTACTACACCAGATTTAGGTATATAAGGGGAACCCTGTTTTCATAAGAAAGACTAAATATATATCTTATTTCAATACGTTGGTTTATTCAAATATAATGTTTATGGATGACTGTTATGGTGTTCAAAGAAAAAATATTTTGGTTTGTATTCCTGTCTGCTTGGTCCTTGGCAAAAGAAATGTAGGGAGGAAACTTAAAAGAATAATGTGTTAATGAATACTATTTCAATAACTCTGAGCAGCCCCATTCCTTAAACTAAGCTCAGTAGTGTTAACGTTGTCAGGCTTAGGCAAGGGTTTATTTTTTATTGCCACTGTGGACCTTGTGAAAACCTTCTTAAGGTGTTGGCCAGCCCCTAAATGCCTTTCTATGTCAAGCTCAATTCATTGTCCTTTTTTAATTATTACATGTATATTTAACCATGTTTTTCAAAAATATTTATTTTACTTTTAGGCATACAGGCGCATTAGAACGAGCCAACTCTCTGTCATTGATGTATGCCAGCAAGAGAATTTCCTACACGTAAGTAACGACACTTCATAGTTTTAAAAGTTCATAGTATTTATATTATCTGTAGGGTATAGCGAAGGGGAGCTCAAATATTGTTGTATACTTCAAAAAATTGCACTGTGTGAACAAAGGTCTCATTGAACACTGTCTATTTTGATCAATTGTTCTTTTTAGGGAGAAAGTCTACAAAGCAAGAAAACAATTAGCTGCCATTGACTGGAACTATCACCTCGATATTCCTGAACAAGAAGATGTGCTAGGCGAGGTTGCTGTGACCCGGAAGTACAACCAAAGAACAAAGAGTTGGAATGTGAAAATTGTAAAGCAGGCCAAAGACTATGGTTATATTTGGATGCTTCTGGCTAAAGTGTTTCGTCTACGTGTGGAGGATAATGAAAATATGCAGAGGGCGGTCCCAATGGAACCTGATGACCCAAGGAGGATAGCCCCTACAATTGCTGTGGTGCCACCCCCACCTTCACGCAAGCTCTTTATTCAGCACAGCAGCAGGTTTAAGAAAAACTAGGAAACACGATGTAAAATATGTAATAAATATGGAACATTTATGTATTCATGTGCAGTGTAAGAAAATATTCATCAAAGAAGGACTGTCATGTATGATGCACAACAAGCAACAGTGATGTTTTTGACAATAAATTGACAATAAATATAACCTATGATAATTGTTTAATAATTTTAATGCACAATATGTGAAACTAAATAATGCAAAAGTTAACCGAAGACAAAGGATTGGTCAGTAAATGTGCCGGAGTAGGTTGGTCCTTATTGAACTAACTGTTGGAATCCATTTTTGTGAGTCTAATTATCCATATTATAAAATTTGCTTGCACTGCCACAATACAAATACAGCTGTAATGCTATTGTTTTCATGGGGTAATATTCACAGGGGTACTCAATCCAGGACAACCTTTTTTTTGAGGGGGGTGGGGTTGGGGGTATGGCATGAGGTTGAACAAACCCACTTTAATTAAAAATTCCTTGTAGAAACCTATCAAAAAGTTATTTCCATTTTAGCGAGGTTTGAACCCCATGTACACCCCAGTTGAGGAAGGGTAGTGCTCTCGAATTTTCCATACACAGCATGAAGGGCATACCCTTCTTTTGTGTTTTCCAAGGTAGCCATAGTCTTCAATTATATAATGACGATAGGCAGCCTTTCGGAAGGCTCTGCTGCTATTATCTTGACGGTCGTTTCTGATATCCCCTGAACACTTTATACTTAATTGTAAATAATCAGGGTCCAGGCATAGCTTGCGAAAGCGTGCGCTAAGTGAGACACAGTCTCTAGAATTACAGCACCGGTTCTCAACCTCCTGCGACATTCTGCGGCAATGTCCACATTTGCACCACTCAGGCACTGGTTCACTTGACCTTGCCATAGATGCTGTTGATGGTGGCCTGAAAGATGAGGGCCCACCTGAAGTTGATGTTCCAGATATGCTCGAGTCTGAGGCTGGGGTGGATGCAGGTGTAGATTGGGCAGGGTTCGGTGGTGCTGGACTTGACACTTCTGGGGGGATAGAGAAAGGGAAGATGGGAGAGCGGCATCATCATTCTCATCTTCTGGGTCCTCCTGGATAAGAAGCATATCTATATAGTCCATGCTGCCCACTCCCCTCTGTAGAGCTCTTGTAGCAAGTTTTTTTTGCTAGCTCCTCTTCCAGGGTTTGGATAAACTCCTGTGAGGTTGAAAAATAGTGCAATAATTTGTTAGAGTAGCTGGACAATTACTTTTTATCACATTCTGTCGAAGCTTGACACCTAGATTCTTTTAAGAGCGTAATCGACGAGAAAATAACAAATAAAAAGGGGACTTCCCTAAGAAATCTTGCACACCTCAGAACATGACACACAAACGAGACACTAAAACAAAAGACAATTTGCTCCATTTAGGGGAAGCAACGATCAACGACTTGTACAAGGGAAACCATTATCCGGTTGGCCTGGCGGTCCTTGCACGAATCCCCATCCTTGGGATGCCACGGATGCAGCCTTCACATGATAAAAAAGAAATCGCAAACTGTACTAGTACTTCCTACTAGCGAATTTTAGACCTCAACCGAGCCTTGTTTCCCCACCTCTCTGTTCTTGCACGGCTTTCGTCGACTGCACGAACAGGCCTCTCCGCAGAAGCGACCGGCTGTTTTGCAAGGACATCCAGTCCTTTTTCTTCCTGCTTTCGTAGAGCAAGTGCTTGTACACTGGCAAGAGTTAGGGACGTTGTCCTGCGCAAACGGGAAGGAAATAATGTTGACTAGATTTCGCGCAATCGAGTGGAATAAACTGCGGTATTCAGAAGTCCGGGAAGAGTAGAGCGCGAGTCGCTGACTACAAAAGCGGCAAGAAAGTTGTGGCTAAATTAATACACGGATACATACCGCAAAAGAGCTACTTTGTTCCGAAGAAAGGCTCATTTCTGTAAAAGGTTCTAACGAAAATAAAGAATCTCGATGAAGGTTTCGCAGCGCGAGTCGGCTTTTCACATGGGCTCATATAAACATGGCCTTGTTTACATCATTTGCATCTGTCAAATGCAAGCATGCGCAGTAGCCGTGACACAGCTCCTTTAACCAATTGTGTAAATGCGCACCGCAGTGGCAGGATGTGATAAGGAATATTTCAGAGAAATGTAGCCACCAACGCACAGAACACATGCTCTGTGCGGTACTTCAAATTAACTCAAGGCTAACAAACAAAAAGAGAAACCAACAACACATTCTCGTACTGCATATAACGAAAACAAAGCGTCGTTGTCTTGGTCAGATGATTATCTTTTAAAGCGTAATTATCTGAAGGCTCTGTTTGTTTATTGCCTGATTTCATAAGGAGGGGACTTAGTTCTGGTCCACATATAAGGGATTATCTAAACCTGAAAAGAGCACACCCAACTTTACAAAATCCTCAAACGTGGTTTTAATCAGATACAACCATTCAAATTTTCGAAAATTTAGCAAGATATGTATTAATCGCCAGACACATTGTCCGGACGTCCATATATCTCTAAATCCTCGTGCAAACGGACGCAACATTGTTGGATGTTACATATTGCTTCTGTTTGCACACCCTGTTGCATGTTGTTGCGTGCTGTTGGGAGTCGTTGCGGAAAATTTGAAACCGGTCAACATTGTTGGCCCAACAATGTTGGGAGTTGTTGCGTCTGTTTTCACGTAGCTTTAGTAATTTTTGCGCTTTTTATTTTCTGTATCTCATTAGTGCCTTATTGGCCAGATAAACACCAAACGTGAAGATTTTGCTCGGTTTGCACTTTCTAAGTTTGGGGCCTTGTGTTGATAATACACGGACCTGTACCCAATCCCCCAACGAACGCGTATGAAATTGAACAACAATTTTCCAAGAAGAGCCTTTGTAAGATTTTGGATACAATTGGTTCCTATTACTAACTGGTTCATCTTTATCGGCTTATCTTGTAGTTTGGTTTTGACGGTCCTCGAGAACTTCAGGAACAAGAAACGAATGTGGAGTCATTGATGGAAGAGAAACCAACCCTCCTCAACTCTCAAATGAATCAGGTCAGTTTACCCCCCCCCCCCCCTCCCCAGTTAGTTTATATTTTGTTCCAGGAGACGAGCATAAGGAGGCACATCCTTGTTGGAGCGAGTGTAAACATGACAGATCAGTGTTTCACTCCCAGTGGAAACTCCTTACATACAGTTGACTCAATTGTCCTATATATTTTCCATGGAGTTCTGTAGTTCTCAGGCTGGCGTACCTCATTATAAGGATTAGCAAGTGTAAATCGCTCAATCCATTCACACTTCAGCGGCCCGTTACCGCCAGCATGTTTCCTTGTTCCCCTTGTGACGTCATATTTTTTGAAGGGTCGTGGACAACTGATTTACAAGTATCTTCTCCTAGGGGCGAGATCTTAAGAACCATAACCAAACGAGCAGACTATTTTTTGCCGATGTTAGTCGGTCCCTCGTGTCTCGTCTATTTCCTGTCGCCTAAGCCTACTTAAGGTGAGCTTGCAAAGGTGGTGTTTCAAGCATTTTTTTCTGCGATGTTTAAGTGGTGTTATTTCAAAATCGCAGGTACAAACAGGTGACGATTTCATGGTGATTTTTGCCCCCAAAACGACCGTTATTTTCCAACCTATTTATGTTCAGTTCGATTTGTGACTTGTGATTTTTTGCGTGAGAGTTCAGTTCCAAAATCTTAATTGACGGATCAGGAGAGTGCCACAATGTTTAGATCTCAAACGCCTCACAGCAACCGCTGTGTAAGGACAGGATTTCGCAATAAAGTCGTCATGAAAATGTCCTTTCAAAATATAGTCAGACTCATCTCCTGGGCTTCTTGTTTTCTAAGGGAAAAGCCTAGGGGATATATTTCAA